AAAATTTTTTCCCCCCCCCCCCCCCCCCCTACAGCAAATATACCATGCTTTGATGAGTCCCGCTTTTAATGCCATTTCCGACAGACACGTGATCAGTCTCACGAAACATTTAATTTACTGCAATTTGCAAAGCGCGCGTATATACAGTGCACTCCGGTATAACCGTGCACGTTGCAAGTGACATTTGTCATAATTTTCGCGAGCGTGTACGTCCGCTGGATCTCAATGGAAATAAGGTTAGGGCATAGCTGAATAGAGCAAATCCGAGTGCAACGTCCTTCTGGCTTGGCAAAGCTATCCTCAATGCGCGATGCGACGACCGCGATGTTACTGTTACGGCGATTATAATTATCGAGCTCGTCATAATGTTAGGCTTATCCATTATTAGTTACGGCGCATTCGCATGCGACTCGACACGCCGTGTCGCGTTGACTGTAATAAATACATAACATTAATAGCATTACCCCCGTACGAATGATACCTACATAATTGATACAGGTGTAGAAAAGAGAGAAAAAGTAATAATAACAACACAAGAACAACAACGACACGAACCAATAACTCGATATAACGAAAAATACTTTACAGCCGTAAGATATGTAAATCACGAGCGTATAGACACCCTCTGCTTTTTTTTAAGGCCCTAACGTTTTGCTAACAGCTGAACAATCGTCATGCGTATATAAAAGATGTTATGTATAATGCATAAGACAGATAATATACAAGAAAAATAGTATAGCGCAGCGTAAGTAAGAGCTTGTACGGAGTCTACTACAAAGGGAAATATATACAGTCGGTACAAGCTAACGAAACGGTACAAGTACAGTGGACACTGAGTATACGGCCAATGAAGCTCCCTGACTATAATATAAAGAATATAATATTACGAGTGTAAAAACAGTTAATAGTCTGATCTCTCTCGATAGAACGTCTTATCGGGATTTTCTATTGGAGAATAATAATGCTACACTTACGCGCAGGGTGATCGTGCATCGCATGTGCTATCGGTACAGTTATGTATACAGGACACGTCACAGTGAAATTTAAGGGTATAAAATTACTGAAAAAAAAAAAAAAAAAAAAAGTTATCGCAAAGATACTCACGGCAGTTGATCTCGTCCGAACGATCCTTGCAATTGTATTCGCCGTTGCAGTGTTCGCTGCTATCGATGCACTCGCCGTTCCTGCATCTGAATTGATATTGACTGCAGGCTGTAAGCAGAACAAAGAGAAATGGATTAAGAGTGATAAGAGGACGATGAGGCGAGAAATATAATGAATATCAAGTACGGTTAAAGGGTGTAAATCGATAATCGATTGTGAAACGGAAGTGACGCGTTCTCTTGTATTTTGTCCCGGGTGCTCCTGGGCTGGTCAAGTACATATCAGTAGGTACTAGAGTGAATGACGTCTAATTTGATTACAGGGTACGGCGGGTATTTAATATAAGTACTGCAGGGAGCAGCACTGAGAGGGAGATAAGATTTCAAAGGTCTTCGGGGAGGGATTCGAGGTGGAGTCGCACTTCAAGGAGACGACGTTCAACCAAATTCCTTCTTCCTCACGGGGTGGGAAACTTCATTCGGTCGTGTATCCGAAACCTGGTCAGATCGTATTCGATCATTGGAAAGGATCTGTGTACCTACGGTGCTTCTTGATATATATATATATATATATATATATAGTAAGGTGCGAAATAGGTTTCGCCATTAAGTCTCGCTCGTTAGAATTTTAAGTGACTGCAGATTATGTAGAGAATATCGTGAGATGCTGTGGTCCAGATTCGGTTACCGTAGAACGTCGACCATAATTTTCATGGGAAATTGAACAACGGGTCGATGACTTTGAAAGCGGCGTCAGGTTGTGGTGCAGTTTGGTATGCTTTGATATGAGAAACTGCTATTCAGCGACACTCTATCTGACACCAGTTATATATATACGTATATAGAGGTGCCATTGAAAATCACATAAAATCATCGAGTTCCGTCGGATCGCCGTCATGACAATCAGATATCCATCCCGTATCCGGCTTTAGAGCCGTATTCGCATTGTAATCTCACGTTACATCGCGATACGAGAAAATCTTGATTTCCTACCCTCGCAGACAGGAGCCTGACAAGATCCTCTAGAATCTCTCACATCGTCGATCTCAGAAACATCGCATCCCGGCGCTGCTGCGCGCCGTAGCGTGCTCTATAGTTATAACCGCCTTGCGTGAGTGATATACGAGTCGAGCTTTTCGGAGCATTTCAATTCCTAAAGAGGTCGAAAGTGTCAGTTTAACCTCGAGCCGCTACGCGGGATACAAATGTCCTCGTTACCGCATGAAACGTGCGAGAAAAAAAGGGAAGTAACTAAATGGAGGGAGGGTGAGAAATGTAGGAGAAAAAAAAAACGAGACACCACTGACGTCATTAGTGTCAGTGTTTCTACACGTATCGTACATATATACACGGACTTAATTTCCTCGTCCACTTAGGTGATACGCCTATAAAGTTTTTACACCCTGGTACCTAATCTGCGTACCCCCGAAATCTTACCTTGATCGGTTGGCATTTCGAAATTTCAAGAATATTCCAAAAAGTGAAAAAATAAAAAAAAATGTATACCCACTTCGACGAATCCAATCGAATATCCGACTTCCCGAAGCGTCAAAGATGTTTATGGGTGATTCACGAATATTTTCTATTTTCAAGTAAACTTCACGGATTACATCGTGAAGGATTGTTTGAAGGACGAAAAATTGAAGGAAATTAAATCTATATATAACGAATGCGCGATGCTGAACTTCACATCGCTGGTTACCGTACGTAGCTGGTTACATAGGGGGATGGACTTTCGCCTCTATACTCGAACGCACGTATACACCCTGCATCACGCTAGGTTTCTGAAACCATAGACCTGTGAACACACACGGTACACTCTCGCACCCAACTGCCTACTTAATTAAGCTCGCACCGATAAATCGCATCATCCACGTTACAGCCAGGTTCGGTCAACTCCGTTCGCTAGGACATAATAAACACGTGGAGTTCAGATTGTTCAATCTGTGGCATTCGATATTTTATTAGGCAAATATATAGTCACCGTACGTGTATAATACATCGATTGAACCTCGGGCCAGGCAAAACTTCGACAAAGGAGTCCTTGTTGCAGGGACTGTACACTGTATGGCTACGAGCGTGAGCGCATGAATGAAATCAAGATAAATTCGACTGTTTATCATTTCGTTGATGAACGAATACTTAATGCCATTTATAAGTGATATTTCTTAATGAATGTGCATTTCATTCGCGGAAGAAGAACAGGACTCGTTTTCATCGTAATATCCCTAAGCATCTCAGTGGCTGCTACTTGACCGGTGCCCACTCGAATGGCACAGAGTTACAACGGAAGCCACTAATATCACGTACTCGAGTGTACTTGACTATAGATTATATAAATAATCGAGGAACGAATAATACAAAATTACATTTTTATATACACATAAGACTATGATATATGCACCCAATATGCACCAAGGATAGAATAGATACGTCGGACAGAGAGATATATTCGGGAAACCGGAAGTCCATAAGATTCTCCGGGAAGCCAAAGCCGGAGCAAGACTCCAGTCGATGACTGCGTAGGTTAACGTGAAAGAAGGGTAACGCGGAGGGGAAGAAGAACGGAATTAGAATAGGAGCTCAAGGAACACAAGGAAGTACAGGGAAGGACGAGTAAAAGTGGTGGAAAACGTCGAAGTTGCGGGCAAACGCAATTTACCAACTTTTAAAGTTCATCCCGTTAAGATTAAGCAGCATAAAAGGCGGCAACCCCATAAAAATGTATATCGTAAACACGGTCTCCGGGAACGCTTATGACTTTACGGTGAAAAATTCAAGGATAGGCGTAAACTACCTACCACTCGCGAAACGGGAAGACATCTTCGCAGATTGTCTCGGGAAAGTGTATTACAAGTGCTTCGTAAGGTCTTGGACGGTTTTTGCTTTTACAATTTCCTTCTTTCCCCTTACCCGAGGCCAGGACCAGCGACGTCTTAAACGGGCACAATAGACAGAGTGTGTACGCGCGTGTATACAATAGATATTAGCCAAGATGCACTGTCGATTGGCAGATTACATGTTGTTGGCACGTACACTTTTTTTTTACAGCTAATAAACTGCAATTAAAATCCAGTAAGGTGGGATCGACGACTGTGAGCTCGCAGCTTTATTAAATTAGCGCAGCTTAACGGCCGAGATTACGGACGCGGTAAGGGAAATATTAAACTTATCGTTATCATTATTATTATTATTATTATAGGCAACAGAGGCATTACGCGTGGCTCCTTCGTCCCTTTATTAGAGCAATTACACGCGGTTACATAATAATTTAATGTTTCCACGCCTATGCACTTTCATTATCCTCCAATCGTCAAGAACGAGCCCCGAGTCGTGTCAACCAATCAAATCCATTTGATATTATACTTTATCGTGGCATTAATTAAAAATTATTTCTTTGACGGAAACGCGATAAAAACGTAATCTTACTGAAATTTAATATTGAATATCGTGGCCATAGTACACTATGCGTATCAACGCAATGTGGATAGAGGTACGAATTATACGAGTAGCAACGTGACTTTAATGATCCCCGTAATGGATAAAAAAGTTTAGACGTAATTAGCGCATCGTTAAAATGACGAATGATACGATAGAAATTTATGTGTAAAAGTACAATAATGTATCGAGATGTATCGAAAATCTGGTGGAGCATACTATGTATATATACATATATATTGTAACGTATTTTCTCAACTGGACACCGATAACGAAAATCCGAGAACTAACCTACCTCAACTTCGTCCATGCATGCCAGGCGGTCGCCAGTCAGTTCCTTTTTCATCGGGAACTGACCAGCCGGTACGACCTGGGAGTTGAGGTAGAACAGTCTCGACTCCGCCAAAACGGGAGCCCTGACGGGACCTATCAGAAGAGACGCTAGCCTAACTTAAATAGTGCGCGATACGGAGCAAATGATCGAAAACGTAACAGAACGCATAGGAGCTATAAAATCGAAATCCCACGGCAGATTCGAGCACCTCGACCTCAGCTCAACGATAAAAAATCTTTCGAGAGAATCGGCGTAACTGTACGAATCAATCCTAACGCGTAGCTTCTGATCAGGGTGGAGAGTCGAATGGAACCAGAAAGCGAGACCCTTATCTGAATTGGTAGGCTGGAGTCGCGTTATGACTGTGAAAAGTAGAAAAATCACGTAATAATATATATATATCTTATCAGTTGTCGGGTCGTTATTAAGATATTCCTATAGGAAGTAAATGACCCAGGAAGAAGTGCAGCTACGTAAGTGAAACGCCCACCGTCTACGTATAGGCTTTTGTAGATGCGAATTCGTAATGCGATGTTTGCGCAATTTTAACAGAGGTTGCATTTTTGTTGGTTTTACTGTCGGGAATATGATACAGTACGTAGATGGCGCCACTGCCACAAGGCTACGAAGGTTGTAAGTGAAAGCACGTGTATACAGAACGAAGGGAGAGCGCAACACAATATAAAGTTGAGGATATTAGCATGACAAGCAGCCAGCATCAAATTGCTGGACCTAAAAGCCAGCGGAGAAAAGCAAGCGGCCCCTCTGCTAAATCGTCCATGCGCTTCTAATGGACTGTCGGCGGTACATTTATTGTCCGAGTCTTCATCCGCTTCGTCGACTCGGTGTATCTTTTATACGTGGTGAAAATTTTGGATTTACGAGATCCCGAAATTTTACAATCACGCTGATATCAAATACCTTAGGTCATAAGAGCTTTATTTTAACGTCACGTGACGCGTGTATTTGCCGAAAAATTATCACGTATGTATTTTAAGGTTATGTTTTTAGACGCTCCTCGAATTCGAACGGGTCGCTAAATTTCATATTTACTTTGAAATTTATTTCGTAAAAGGTCAAAGATATAGCGACTGACGCTTAGAAGACGATAAGAGTTCTTTTCCGTAGATTTACTTTTCAAAGACGCGGAGAAGCTGGCAAAATATGAACTTTTCGTATTTTCGTATAGGAACAGATTAACATGGCCTGAGCCTGTCATTGTGGGCGTCGGGTTTATCAAGGAACACGATGTGGACAATAGGTTATCCGCTCGAGAGACCCAGTTTAGTTAACATTATTGTCACATAGACGGTCGCGGTAATCCCTTTATAAAAATT